ACAAGCAACAAAGGCCTATAATTGGTATCATATAGTCCTTGGTAGCTTGCTTCTTATGCTATGTCAGTAGTACGGTTTCATAAACGTGTTTTTTAATTTGGATTTCGTTGATTTTTATTCATACTAACTTTGAGTGTGTATAGATAAACATTTAAACATGTATAAAATTAAATAAATAGACACAAATTTTGTACAAACACTATAACGTGTGATTAAGCCACACGGGAAACCGCACAGCAAAAGACCACTAGGCCATGGTCAGCGTGCTGAGTAAATTCGTCATGCTTTAGAGGATTTATAATATAAAATTAAATAAGTAGACACACATATCAGATAAGCTAAAAAAATTTCTTCAATTGCTTCTTGTTATCATCACCAACATCATCAATAAAACACCATCATAATCATTCAACTAAAGTGACCTCAACTTTAACCAAAGAAGGTAAATGGATATTACACTATCATTTAACCAAAATTCCAATATTATTAAAAAAAATTAACAATAAATAATCCTATTTAACAAAAATTTAATAACAATCTACAATAAATGGTCAATAAGAAATGAACGGATTATTGACCCTTCCAAGATTATTTGGGCTAAAAAGTAGATTATAATCATAACAGTTCAATTCTTATTAAGTTTTAATTTCTTTATTTATATTTTTTGACACCTATTATTCTTCTTCTTATAAATGACTACATATAATATATAAAAGAACTATATAATTTTTTCATGGATCAATTTGGATATGTTCATTTTTGTATGAACGTTTAATAAAAGTTAATAAATGAATGAGTCGATAGTCAGCTCACCCCAAAGTATTGATTGCTAGATGATGCAAAGTCACCTCTCCAAGCAAGTTTGTATTTTTTAATCTACAAATATTACTTTACGAATAAATATTTTGATGTGTCACAAAATAATTCTAGCAACTAGGAAATATATAGTTATTATTTTGATGTGTGTATAGTTGATATTAATTTTTCTTTTGCATGATTATTTCTTTTTATTTTTTTGAATCTTCTTAATGAAGATTCTAGTTATGATCCCGCCATTATATAAATTTACTTGCATATAATTAGCAACTCCACTAGTTTAGGTACATGCCAACCAACTTTAATTAAGTTGTTGAAGAATTGATGCAAAAGCAATATATTTCTTATTTCCACTTGGACTATACTTTCTTTATTATTTTTCTAGTGAGTTAGTGTTAAGCTTTTTGTCTCTAGTTTAACTAAAAGTATTACTTCGATTGAGTTATATCATAGTCTTTCATTTATTTAGATGTTGAGATAAGATAAATCGTAAACTTTTTATTAAAAAATCTCAATTTCATCACAATCAGTATTATGCTTTCAAGGGAATGCAATATTGAAGCAAACTACTTATTAATATGCTATCTCAGTCTAATAAAGAACATTCAGTAAGGATCGAGAAAAATTTGACTTTTATGATATACTATTAATTTCATCACGATAATTCTAAGACGATGAAATGAAAAAAATAAGTTTGACTTTTCTCATCTATTGATAATGAATTGTATTTATGACATAAAAGTCAAGATTTTTAAGTCTTAGATGCTACTTGAAAGTTAATATAATTATGTTGACTTTATCATGATCGGTATGGTCATGGTTGAATTTGTCTCAATTAGCACATTTGTGAAGTAAGGTTAACTGAATAGTCATTGTCTCTGAATACATATTAGTTTAAAAAAACAAAAATTGGATAGCACTATAGCAATTCATAAACAAATAATCATCAACATCTATATAGCAACAACACTCTCACCTAATGTTCTAATAATTACACTCTCTAAATCAATCTTTTCTCATGCTCAATAAATTTATCGAATATGATATAATATAATATAATATAATATAACATGAGTTAATAGAATAGAATGGGATAGATGATAGAGGACAACTTGCGCACAAAACCCCATCATATTATTAACATCGCTCGTGTAAACTTGTCTGCTTATTACGAATAAAATTGTCGTCGTCATTTAACTTGTGTTTGTGTATCTATATGGGTATAACAATAGATAGACATTATTTGAAGTTAGTCTTAACAAAGTCGAACTTCACACATTTTGTTTGAAACTTTATATAATTGATGCTTATAATAAATTACATATGACGGAAGTTCAATCATTCTTGTTTGAAGTTTAACAACATGTGCAATGTGCATGAACTTCGGACTAAAATAACTGAAATTATCAAAAGTGACTAAAATCCAACTACAATTGCTTGAACTTCAATCATATATAATCCAAACACTGTGTCTGAAATTTGATTTTGTAAAATTCTATTTTCACACACCACGTATAAAAAGTAGATATATGTACCAAAAAGTTTCAAAATATTTTTATAAGTTAAATAACGATATCAAAATAGGTTGTCCCGTGAAATTTTTACGTTAAAAGAGAATTTGGCCCAAGACATGCAAAAAGTGTTATATCAAGAGATCTCTTGTATCAACTAAAAGAAGCCCAACATTATCTTCATTCTAAGTTTCACAGACCACTGGATTTTGGCCCATTGTAACATTTTTAAAGTACGAACAATTTTGCGACACAACAAACATAGCCTCTCAAGCTCATATTTATTCGAAATATCGATACTTTAAAAAAGATTATTATACATAGTGACAGAGGCGGAGTTAGGTGGGGGTTCATTGGTTTAGACGAACCCACTAGCTTTTTCGTAGATCCTATATTTGTATTAGAAAATTAATTTTTTTTCTGTATATTAACTTGTGAACCCCCAAATAAATTAATTTAGAACTCCCAAACTCTTAATCTTGGCTCCGCCTCTACAGTGATAGTGAGAGTTTGAATTTTAATAGAAACTATACCAAATACACGTATCTCTTTATTTAAAGTCTGAAATACAAGTGTATCTTATAAAATATAGTGACATACAAGAAGACTCTTTTTGTGAAATAATCTTATAGAAATGAATAAATTCTAAATAAGGTTGCTAAAAATAGTTACTTGGGTGTCATTTTTACAAGAAAATTATATTCAGTGACCTTGAAAATGAGTGATTTCGAATTTTTAAACGCCGTTTGCCCATCAAGGTCAAAAGTGTTTCCAGAGACAAAACTTGTTAAACTTTGAAATTTCTTATCCATATAAAAAATAGATTAGAAAATAGGGAAAATTATGCAAAATAGCATACATTTAGCCTGCATTAAGTACTCTAGCTATAGTTTAAGAGAATTTTAATTCGCGACTACAATGTCCCCAATTCTTGCTATTCGCATGGTTTGTATAATTCGTCTGATTTGTATAAATCCAGATTCGTATAATTCGGTTCCTTATTGTATAAATCCAGAATTTTGTATATGCTTACCTTAACTATTTGTATACGATTTATGAAAAATTCATAATAAATTACCATGTTTGTATATTGGCAAGCAAAATATACAAACAGAGTTCCAAAAAAATCCTAAATGTATAAATAAATAATTTGTATACAGTTGCCCTATTTGTATATTCGCAAGTGAAATATACAAACTGGCAGAAATACATAAACCGTAGCTTCAATAGCAAACATAACTATAACTATAGAGTGCAATTATCGAAACTATAGCTATAAGGCCTTATCATGTCTAGTATGTTTGTTATTTCTGAAATTTCTCAAAAAAAATAATCAAGGCCATTCTCTTGTAAATCATCCCATAACTATAGCTGCTTGTTGAATATTTGGGCTTGGAATCTACACAAACTTGTTCACATTGTGTTTAGAAGACAAAGCCCATTCTAATTTCTAATTTGCTTAAAAAATGACAACCAAACTAATTTGCTTAGATAATTAGAAGAAACAAATCCACTTTTTTTCCTTTGTCCTAATTTCTAAGTATGGTTTCAAGATTTAAATTATCGAGTTGGAATTATCATCTAGAACATGTGTGACGGTGTGAAGTCCCATTAAGATTTTCGTGAAATGTTTCGTTCATCTTTATTGAAGATTCATGCATACTATATTTAGACGTGCTTGACAAAAAAAACATCTATTAATGTATATATTATCTTATGGTAAGCAAGACAAAGCAAGTCGATGAAAGAAAAAACTTTCGATGACCATATATCTGAATGGTTAGAACATGCAAGATCTCTCTTGAAACTTTCTTACTTTATTTAAGAAATCATAGGAAATGTTCTTCTATGTACGCTTCAACGATCTTCTATTGTTACTTTATATTAATCTTTTGAAAAGGTAAAAGGGTCATATAAACTATAGTATATATTATAAAGTAAAATTTCATGTTTGTAAGAAGTAAATTTCGAAGAAATAGTAAAGTTAGTAGGTGTAAAAGAAGTTGAACATTCAACCATGAGCTAAGTTAATGTTTTGTGGGTTCTACATATAGTTGATAGCAAAAATAGGAGATATTATGTTGACAATTACAAAGTACCCCCTCAAGTCTCTTGAATACACATTGACTGAGTTATTTTTATCCAATAAATATATGAAAATGAAAATTTATAAAGTACATATAAAGATTGGAAATTAGTACTTCTAGTCCCTCGAATATTAATAAATTTTGATTTTTGATTAACCACATCTAACCTTTAGTTTGATATGCGATTTTTGATCCCTCAACAGTAAATCTTCCTTTATAAATTTGATAAATTGTTATGTGCTAAACCATATAAGTATCAATACGTACTCTTGTTACTCCATATATAAATGTATTATAATTCTAAAAATAAGCTTAATGTCGCTTATTTCCTTTATAAAATGACCCAAAACACATATTTTCTGATAGTTAAATGTGCGTAACAAGATATTACAAGAACTAAAATCAAACTTTACCAGTAAGCAAGGGACCAAAAGTGCAAATATCCCCTTAATATTGACCAAGTCAAGTTTACTCCCCCCACACACCCCCACACCCCACCCCACCTCCACCTCCTTTTGAAAAAAAAAATAGAAGTAAAAGGATGCCCTCTTCTCTTTATATAATGTAAGACTTGGGACTTCTTTGTTTGCTTCTTTTTAAGTAACAAAGACTACTATATAGTTATTGTAAGTGTCTTCTTAAGACATTCTAGTATATCGTGTAAAAAAAAACAACATTTTAAGCTAGTGTTTAATTATAATTTGTAAATCATGGGAAGAGCTCCTTGTTGTGACAAAACCAAAGTTAAAAGAGGACCATGGTCTCCTGAGGAAGACAATATTCTCAAGAATTATCTTGAGAAAAATGGCACTGGTGGCAATTGGATTTCTTTGCCTCAAAAAGCAGGTTTCTAATTATTTTTTTCCTTCTTCCTCCAATTTTTGTTATCAGAAAATCGCTAATTTTCGATGAAATTTGAGTTATATGTAAGAAATTAGCAATTTTCTGATAGTGATATTCATATCTTCGCTTTAAATCCTTATGATTAAACATATTATTTGGTGTTGATGCCTCTCATGTTTAATATTTCTTGATAGAATTCAACTTATATATATATATATATTGATAGTATAGAGAACTTTTACATTATTGGTCAATATAATTTTAATTGTCGATAATTGGTTGTCAATTTATTGTAGAAAGTCTTTCTATAGTTATCTTTTAGCTAGGTAGGGTACCTAGTGTATAAAAATTAAACTCTTATTTTAATGATATTTTTATATTTAAAAAAAAAATTATGTTAGGTTTAAAGAGATGTGGAAAGAGTTGCAGACTAAGATGGCTTAATTATCTTAGGCCAGACATCAAACATGGAGGGTTCACTGAGGAAGAAGATAACATTATTTTAACTCTTTATAGACAAATTGGAAGCAGGTAATTGGTCAAAGGGTCTTTAATTATTTCATTACAAGAATTTAATTTTATGTTCAAACGTAACTTTAACTTTCACATATCTTTTTTTCAATTTTATTTCTCGTAGTATATATTATTTTTCAAATATCATTTGATATTTTATCTGAACTAAATCTATTGGTGAAAAATTAAGGTGGTCGGTGATAGCTGCAAATTTACCAAGAAGGACAGATAATGATGTGAAGAATCATTGGAATACCAAGTTGAAGAAAAAACATTTGGCAGCACAAAATAATAATTTTCTAGACATAGGCTACAATTTCACCAACAATATTAATTCTAGTGATTTGAATCACAATTATTCAAGAAATTATTATGGGAAATTGGATTATTCTAACACATTCACAAGTCATATGGACCCAAATGTAACCAATTATTCAAGTAAAAATTGTGATCAATTCCCTCTTCCAACCTTGATGGAAATTCAAGAAAATGATGCAACAATTCAATCAGTTCAAGAAGATAGTTCCTTGGACTCGTGTCAGATTCTCCAGAAATATGTTACTTTTGAAGAAACCAACATGTGCGCGTCGACGTTTTTGAAAAGTACGAGCAACACAAGTTGTAATTATATGGATTTGAGCTCCGGAATTTCATCATCATCATCTTACTATGATGACATTCTTGAAAATGGTTTTGATTTTCAAGAAAATGATATAGGAGGAGTTGATCCAAATTCTTCATATTACAATAATATTCTTGAAATTGATCAACTTTTCAAAGGATTTGAAAATTAGCTAAGGGGCTAGATTTAATATATGAAAATAATATGAGGGACAAGTAGGTTTATTTTATTAAGACTTGCACTTACTTTTTCTATTTTAGGTTCCTAGCTACTTATTTAGGTTTTAAGATAATGTTGTATGTATATATGACTCTTTAATAGTCAAGAATATTGAAATTATCTTATTCCATCTAACCATGTGTATTTTTATTTTTCTTCTTATCCTTTCTGTGAATAATGATCAGGATACTATTCAACTTTAACTTTTATGATCGAAAATGATTTAATATTATCCTCTGTTATACTATCGATTTATATATATTTTTAAAGTTATATTATCGGTTCATATTATCATATATGTCCCTAAGATTATACAATCGGCTTATATATGACACACATTTCCAAAGCTTTACATATAGATTGATGGGAATTTAGTAACTTTTGCTCATATCACTGATATCAGTATTAAAAAATCTACTAGATAGTTATAATTATTTGATTGGAAATCCAACTATTATTGTAAATTAATTCAAGATTATTATACGCGGTATTCATGTTTGTTTTTTCAAATTCTGAATCTACCGTTGTATGGAATCGATGTCATTAATTAGTATTAAAATATTAATCCACTAAATACTTGTAAATACTTGAACGAAAATCTAACTATTATTGTAAATTAATTCAACATTATCATACGTAAAATTTAATTTTTTTAAAAAAATCCTGAATCCACCATTGCTTGGATAATCGATATCATTAATTATCAGTACGTATATAGAATTAACTTGTGAAGCAAGTTACCCATGAATGCATGTAAATGTTGAAATTTTGTCACTAAATTGTCAGCATCGTGCAAGTTTGTTAACTCGTCAGTACGTAGTCATGAATATTGCATGTATTTGCCCAATTCAAAGACAATTCATAGCGTGTTGACGTGATTTTGGGAAACTAATTCACTACTTGGTCTTTTTTTATGTTCGACATTTGTATCGAGATTTCTGATAAATACAGATTTCATATCGGATTGCAGGTTTCAATCAAGACCTCTGATTAAAATGAGGAAGTACTTACCATTTCACCACTTTCTTTATTGGTTTAAGTGTTTGCTCTTTGATACAACAATACATATATTTAGTGTATTTTCACGAGTAGGGTCTGGGAAGAGTACTTATGTATGTAATCTTAGATAGATAGATAAACTGTTTATGATAGACCATCAACCCAACTAAAACATATCAAAATCAAGTATTGAAAAATATACCGTAGTGAAAAGACACACTAAAATAAAAACGAGAACAGAACAGTTACAAAAACGTATTAAATAATATAGTAATCGAAACACAGGAAGAACAAGTAATTATAATTAAAAATCAAAGAATAAAAGAGTGAAAGAGTAATAATATTGGTCATAATTGGTAGAGAAAACGATAAATGATTAAATATTTTGATTGGCAACTTTTAATAAACAATTAATTAGAATCAGTGGATAAAATTAAGCATCTTATCTTCACGATCGAAGAAATGCTTGCATCTGCATGTACGTAGACATTTGGCACTTAAATTCATAATTGCATCGATAAATACTTATGTACGATTTATTTTAGATCATAAATTTAAGAATATATATTTTATTTTTATATTACGTATTTAATTAAATACCATCATATAAATTGAGACAGAAATACAAGTAAATCTATGTTCTATAAGCTTTAGCTACTTGACATTAATGTGGTCCTCTCCCAAATGGTCAAATAGACATTTTTTGATCAATTAAATTATTAAACCAATAAGGGTGAGAGTTGAGTTTGAATATAATAAATCAACCCCCACAAGGGAAAAAAGAAGTGTATAATTTTCAATCCAAGCTAGTGTGGTTGAAATATTTTAACTAAAGTTTCCACATAATAATTGATGCCTCTTCAAACTAATTAAGGAGAGCCTATCCTTTTAGGGTTTGCCATAATGTTAGGGCTAAGGTTAGACCTTAGGTGAGCCTAGTCACACATCGATTGATTCTACGAATAAATCAAATAATAATTTTATCAAAATTTGGACAGATGAAAAGAAAACATTAATTAGTGTTTTTTGCCTTCACTGTTGTTGTTGCTCTTGGATTACCCATCTTTTTATTCCCCTTCGCTTGTCTTGGTGAGATCAGATTTCTAAAACGAATGTCTCCTGATCTCTTTCTTTGTTTCGTTCTTCTTTTATATTGTCACTTAGCTTGAATGACTATATATACGCGCGCAAGTTACCAATTAATGATTAATTACATTATAATTTGTATACTTATATATTAGTATACTATTACTCCATCAAACATATTGAGGTTATTAAGTAGTATAGGTAATTAGCTTGGTAATTCTGAAATTTTCAAATATCCTTGTGTAGTTTCAAAATTGATACTACATTTTAATAATATGTACTATTATTATTACTATATATTAGTTTGCAAATTTCTCTATCATTCCTTTTCTTCTTTTTATTATAATTCTTCTAAGCATCAATTATATGATCAGATGTCAACTTAATTATTATCTCTATTATTTGGTGTTTTATGAAATTATAAGATATGTGCTAATTAAAGTCAATGGAGACTCGAGAGGCCACTTATTATTTATCTAAACTAAGTTTGAATGTACAATAATTGTCAATACTTATCCAACAAAATCATAAATTTAAAAAATGTTAGTAACAACTTTTTTTTACAACTATTGATTTAACAATTAACAATGTTTGTTCATCGTTCAATGTGCTAGCTAATTAGAAAATACATCAAATTAATTTAGTGGAATTATTTTAGTCCAATAAGTATCAAATCTAGCTTTCGAATTCTTTGGTTGCTTGTTGAAAATTAGTTAACTTGGCTATCAAGGTAAGCATTTGAAATTGTGATTTTTTTTGGTTTTCATTTAACGGGTCATACATGTTACGAACTTAAATAATTAGTCGAAACCAGATTCTATTGAATATCGAATGATTATTAAAACAAACTAAAACATTATGCAAATACATGATACAAAATAATTGTGTAGAACTTATTCACTCGGTGTTTTTATCAAATCATAGTAATTTATTACAGTTAAGTGACAAGTTAATCTGAGAATATGTACTACTTAACTATAATTAGTAGCAATCTTGAGTTCTTTTATTCGGTATAATCATCTTATATTCGAAATTCATTAGTCGAACTAATTCAAATTGTGAATATATAGCTAGCTTCATAAATAACAAACGAAAAAAGTACTAAAAAGAAGAATATGAAGCAGAAAGTTCTTTCTCACATGTAGAAGTGGAGTCAGTATTTAAGATACAAATTTGTAAATTGTTTGAATTTATAAGTTTCGAATTTTGATTCCACTTTGATGTACGATTGAATATTAATGTTTTTGTTTACTTTCATATGTAAATGCAAGGCCCGCTTTAATAGACTGTACGAAAGACATTGCATATTAATGTCTTGACCAAAAATAGGTAGCAAAGAAAGAAAAAAGGAATTTTTGAGTAATATATATATATATATATATTAATTAAAAAAATATAATTTCCACAGTGTTATGTGTTTTGTGACGTTCATGATAGAGGACGGATTAATGAAGACAAGTCAGAAACATGTTTTAAGGTAGATAAACTTGTAAAATAACACACAACACTTAGACGTTAATCTTTGCATTAAAACAAAAGATAAGGTACATAATACAAATTTATATATATGATAGACAGTTTTAAACTCGATAATGACATGGTCCATAATGGACGAATTGATAAAGTCTATTGGATCAAATAGGACAATACATATCATAAATTTGGAGTTTGGACTATGTCATTTTCTATTTTACCTGTCTCTGCGTGCATAAATTCTTTAAACAAGGTACGAATAAAGTTCAAATTATATGAAAAACACACCATTAAATGAAGTAACAATATAATTAATGTGTCTGAATTGCTTTAATTTTTAACATCGTTAATTAACTCTTCAACACATCTAAACAATATGGTTAATTAGATACTCCTATTAGAATAGTACTTAAAATTACGTGGTAATTAAGAGAATATCCTTTGTTATGTTTTGTTGAAAGATGATAAAAGAAAAGAGCTAGAAAGTCCTTTTGTGGAAAAAGAAAAAAAGAAATTTACTTGGATTCAATATTTACAGTAAATCAACAATAACCATATCTAATTATCTAGTATAATTTCATAAGTGAAATCTGTGGATTTCTCATCGACAAAGAAAAATCATTTTCAATAGACTTTTGATTAAATAAAGTATCTTAAATTAGTTTGAAAAGGAAAATACATAAATGAAAACAGTAACAACAACAGAGATAAAGAACTAGCTATGAAAAGAAGTACATAACATACATAAAAAGAACAGTAACAACAATGAATTATCTAATGTGATAATAATCGAAGCACAAATGGTAACAACAATCAACGAATAAGAAACTACGACAATAGTGTTACTACTATTGATAAAAAGATACAGTAGGAACATATACACACTTATATTCTATCATGCTCGAAAACGAGAGAACGTTCAACTACCAACTAGCATTCTACTCAAATCAACGACCTCCAAAATCTCATATCTAAAGTCATGATCTCGTTAAACTCAAGATGCACCATGTTTTGTCTAATCTCCTCTCCTCAATACTTTCTTAGACATGTCTCTAATAAATATTTCAAAATTACAAATCACGAAATCAAAAGTTAAACCGAATACAAAATAAAATATTTTTCGTATTATCGCTTTAGTATTACACAATCCAAACAACCCCTTTGCTTTCTACATAAACCGGGTCTATATAAATAGCTACTTTTTCAGTACCGAAACATTCCCGCCAAAAATATCTTCTGGATTCTTCTTCAATACGCCTCTTCCCAATTTTTGTTTATCATCTCCGTTCAGCTTCAACTGCAACAAAGCCAACTGCCGATCATCGGTGATTCGAAATGGTAAGCATTTCTGTATTCTCTATTAACAGTAGCTTAATAATTTGTGTTCATCGATCTGTGTGTGTTTGCTGCTTTTCACGACTGTAAATACGTTGCTGGACCTAATTTCTACAGTATCGAAATCCTTAAGTGAAATTTACTGGTTCGATTACAAATTTTCAAATCTTTTGGTGGAAGTTTTTCAGTGATTGATGTATTTTTTTTTTTTGTGAAGTTTTTTTTGTACTCCGATTAAGGTTATTATCGCAGTTTAACATCAATTTTGAATACATATGGATTGCTTTTTTTATTCTCACTGATCTGTGTGTGTTTGCGGCTTTGAACAACTGTAAATACGTTGCTGGATCTGATTCGCACAGTGTCGAAATCCTGAAATGGAGTTTACCAGCTCCATTAGAATTTTTTCAGATTTTTTGGTGGAATTTGCAGTAATTGATTTTTTTTTTGGCTCTGATTAAGGTAAATACCGCAGTTTAACATCATTTTTGAATACACATGTGTTTGTATATGTACACAGAGGAAGGAGTTATGTAGTTTACTGCATTAGATTCTGTGTAGGAAGTGCTTCTGTAGCCTCAATTAGTCTGCTCCCTTTGTTATCTGATTCATTTAAGACGAAGCTTAGTCTTATAGTTCAGTATCTGTTTCGTGCTGCTGGTGTTGTAATTAGTCAGGTGACTGTGTGGATTGTTTTCTATTTTATTTGTTCTTCAATTTTCATGTAATCCTTTTTTTGGCTATTCATCTTAATGTAGCTGTGGTCTATGCAAGTAACTATCTAAAAAGAACAAGACGTTTGGAGCTCTATCATGCTGAGATAGCTATTTGGCTAGATAATTTAAATGAATGTAGTTTTTTAGCATTGGAAGTTGGAACAAATAAGGTGTAAATCATGCAGATCTAGAAGTCTAATTTGAACTCTATATTCTATCCAATCCAATTTGATTGAAGTATGTTGCATTGATGCATATGATTTTGTGATATTCAGTATTCAACTCCTGTTTTTTATGATACAGTCGAAGAAAAGAGGTCTTTCCTTGGATGAGAAACGAGAGAAAATGCTACAAATCTTTTATGATTCACAAGGTTTCTTCCTTGTAAGTATACTAGTTCCTTGTATACCTTTGATTTTTGCTATAAAATCATGCAAAATAACAATGGAGATCAATGACATTTAATTCAACTAGTGGTTTTAGTATTGATGCGTATTTGATGTCACAGTCACATCAGGTGTGGGAATCAACTAATTTCTATGTCTTATTTCGTTTTTTTACCCAGTTTTAGCAACTGATTTCCCTGGACCAATTGTATCATGAAATCTGCTACGTTTGCAGATATTTAGCATCATCCTGCCTATTATTTATGTATCTGTTCTGACTATTCTTTCTGTATCTATTATGCTTTGTACCAGTGTTCATCTGTGGGTTGATAAGAATGCCTATTTAAGGGTTTTTAGTCTGGGTCTGTTAAATCTTTAGCACCATTTATGCTAATCAAATTTAAAAGGGGATCTTTAGATGTTTTACCGGACAGCTCAAAAGTTTTGAAGTAGCTGAAAGGTTCTTGTTTGACACCGGTCTGTGATATTTCTAACCAGATAATCATCATTTATCAGAGAGTTAGAAAGAAACAGTCACATCCTCTCTTAGTTGTCTTCTCCTGTATAATACTGGAGATACCTCAATGACCAGGCTATTCTTATGGTATCTGTTTTTATGTCTTCAAGAATGAGTCTCACCTTCCCTTATCCACCAAACTCTTTTCATATGTAGTTGTTTTTATCCTGTTCTTTCTGACCTTCATGATCCATGATAGGAACACATGTTGCCTTCTGGAATAGGTTCAACATCTTTCGATTACTACTGGAGGACAAATCACATTTTATTTATTTATAGTATAATTCTTGCTGCATTATAATTCAATTAGTATTACTTTTTTCAATTCCTTGTCATTTCAGCTTAAGGAACTTGAAAAGTCGGGTCCTAAGAAAGGTGTTATCAGCCAGTCAGTGAAAGACGTTATCCAATCTTTGGTGGATGATGATCTTGTGTTTAAAGACAAGATAGGGACTTCTGTGAGTAATGTCTGCTTTGTGTTATAACAGCATTGTCTTTTTAATCCTTTGCTGTAAGCATAAAGTTGATCATCTATATTTTATGTGGTATAAAAGCATCATCCGTATCCCTCCACAAGTCTATAATCTCAAGCATGTTCATTTTTTACAATCAATCTCAAGTATGTTAAATGACTTAATAATTCCAGGTATACTTTTGGAGTCTGCCTAGTTGTGCTGGGAACCAGGTAAGTGTTTGGATTAATCTTTGCACATGCTTGTCATATTTATTTTCAGCTGCTTCATACATGATGTTCATTCAACAGCTGAGAACTGTCTATAAAAAGCTTGAAACTGATCTCCAGAACAATAATAAGCGGCACACTGAACTTGTTGAACAATGCAAGGCCTTGAAAAAGGGACGTGAAGAATCTGTAAGTTCACTAAGTTCTATATGGTCCTCTAGGATAATCTTGACACAATTTTGTATAGATTAGGTTAACTAACAGACCGTTTCTACTTTTCTCTTCTGTGGCTTTACTAGGATGCCCGAGAAGAGGCCTTGAATGAGCTGAAATCTATTGAACAGAAACATAAGGAACTTAAGGTTGAGGCGTGCCTTTGATGTTTTGGAGCTTGCGAAATTAATATGATATTTAGATGAATATGGGTAAGCATTTTTATTCTGAAAAAACTAAGGTGAGATTATTTTCTTATTCAGGAAGAGTTGATGCAGTACGCTGATAATGATCCTGCTACTATTGAAGCAATGAGTAAGGAACTCTGAACATACTTTTTAGGCTCCAACAGTATTTGCCAGACAATATGTTTTATTATTCAGCTGTCTATTTGCATGCACCAGTATGCTTCTCTTTACCAGAATGTGGGTGTTTCCTGACTTGGGAAGTTCTTTTTGGCAGAGAAGGCGATTGAAGTTGCCCATTCAGCAGCTAATAGATGGACAGGTTTGACTGTTCCTGCATTATCCAGTCATTACCTTGTATGCTTCCCTTATTGCTCTCTTTCTTAACTATCGTGTGCATTTTCTATACAGATAACATCTTCACATTGAGACAATGGTGTTCAAATAACTTTCCCCAAGCAAAAGAGCAACTTGATCAGCTATACAATGAGGTAAGAAGCGAAATCCATCATAAAGAGCCATGAATTTGCTTGTATAGGATTGTGAACTACTGTTTGATCATGCACCCCTATATATCAGAAGAGGTTTAGAAAGTTAAAGAGACTTAGCCATATTTCATATCGATTTTGCTACCATGATTCCTCTCTTCTTTATAATCCTCTGTATGTCCCTCCACCTTAATGACTAATGTAACACCATCAATCATTTTTAAAATTCAAAGCAGAATTAGATCAACTCCCTGTACTTGTAAAAAAGTTCTCCCCTAGAAAGTTATACATTGACCAAATTATCCTTCAACACTTTCTATCCCATCCCTCCCATAAGCCTTGTGGCCCTTACACCTGATCCTAGACCCCTATAATCCTCTCTTTCTCTCTTGGGTTTTCACTGTTTCTTGTTGGGTGCTTTTGAACTTGATTATTATCGCCTTTCTCCATTGGAATAACTAGCTTCAGTTTAAAATGGTTAAGTTATTTGTGCTAAGGTTAAGATCATATTTTCAAATTTGAAAGGGTTATGAATACAGACTGAAATAAACAAATAATGAAATGATTGGAAGAAACAAACTAAATGTAGATACACAGTTTACTAGCAAATTTTCCACTACCATGTTGAATTAGTCTTTTTCTTGTCTTATGGTAGGTCGGAATAACAGATGACTTTGACTACTTAGAGTTGCCAGCAGTGGTTCCTCTTGCAGTTACTGAGGGTGAACTTTAATTGGCCGTAAGCTAGTTTGACATATGCTTCCCTTATGTTCTTTTACCTTTTACTATGTTTGTTCTTTCCAGTGGTATAGCAGTTGGTTCTTGCTTTAATAATTTGAATGATCTTAAAAGCATTGTCATATATGTAGTCTGGGCAGCTTAATAGCCATTAATTTTGATTAGCATTATGCATGTTCTTTCTCTTTACCATGTTTCAGAATGTCTGGATATCTTATTCTCTCCAGAAAAGATTGTAAGTTCAATTCGTATTTTCCCCTCATGATTCCTCAAAATCTCGTGCTAGAGGATATTGTGACACTGACCCATATAGAAAACTGTTTGTGGATACTATCATACTAGATGGGGAGATTTTATTGACTGATTAATTCAAATTTACATGTCATTTCGTCGTGTTATTTCGACACCAAAGTACTTTATGCAATATTAAAGAAAACCGTCAATTTGGGGGATGGAACTACTGATTAGCGGCTGAATTAAAGTTCCAATAATTGAATTAAAGTCCCAATAACGGTTATTAGCCAGCTACAAAAACGTCAAAAAAGGAACGACCAACTCTATTTTAAAATTTCAAAAAATAAGGAAGGAATATATAGGACAAACATTCATGTTTGGCAAGTGGCAAGTGGGGAAGGAATTTTCATTAATTGGAATAGGTCCACAAATTATTTTTTATACTGTACAACTCAAAACAATCTGTACTCATAACGTGCAGTGAATCTCAACCTTACACCTGTCCCTTTATTAACGGCTAATAAAAACTTCCTATTATTGAATCTTTTCCAAATTGGAAAGAAATTTAATTTGACAGAGTGTATACTGAATGGAGATCCTTTACAACCAAAATTTCATAAAATAAAAAATGAAGGAAATAAGGGATTAAAAATTCCCTTCCTTATTTATAAAACCCCAATTTTTTCTTTTTTAGTGAAAACAAACATTAAAAGAGTCTCAACTCTCAAGAAAGAAGAAAAAATGGAGGTGTTGAGACTCTGTTTAATGGCTATTTTTGGTTTGGTTATGGCTTTGGTTATTCCTTCTATCAATGCTCAAGTACCTGAGCCTGCTCCTGCTCCTACAAGTGATGGTAAGTTCTTTCTTCAGCCCCTCCCCCTCGGTGTTTAGTATCTGTATTGGAGCATGACCAAGGAACAAACCCGAGACCTCTAGTTAAGGGAGAAATAGTTCTTATTTGAGTTTTTATAATAATAATGTATGAATGAACAATTCTTGATTTGATTAATAGATCTAGGATTTATAAGCAATAGTACCACTTATATGTATAGTATGTAAGAGAACATGTTGTGATGTACATGATACATACATTGCATATACACCTTTTTTTGGTTTAACTATATGGTATATTTGAGGTTTACTAGCTGATTAATTTAGATTCGCATGAGTAGGCTTATGAATGGATAAAATGCTCACTATTAAGGAATTTTTCATTCTCAAGTTTCGAACTCGATAATGCTTATTAAAGATGCAGAAAATTTCACTAATTTGGATTTGCCTTGAGTGGCCTGTGAAGGGATAAAGTGTTTTTTACCAAGACAACTTGTTTTTGTGTTTTGAAGTTGAGACTTCTAGATAAAGATATATGAATTTCAATCATCCCACCCTACCCCTTGATTGTCATTGGGGTTATAAGATTAGGTTTCGTTAGCATAAATTCATGTTTTTTTAATTTTATATAAAATTCTATGTTTTGGTATACATTCATTTTATTTTTTCCAAAAATGCAAATATTAAATGTGTTTTTGTTGATTTGATTTTTGCAGGAGTTGCAATTGACCAAGGTATAGCTTATGTGCTAATGTTGGTTGCTTTGGCAATTACTTATATGATTCATTAGGCAATGTGATACAGCTTCCATTGCAGTTTTTTTCTTATTATTTTTTCTGGTTGTGATTAATTTTTAAAGAAATTAATTTCATTCTCTTGTATTCTTTTTAGAGGTTGAAATTCTCTATTTTCTTTTATTCAATTATTAAATCGTAGAAATTCTTTATACCTTCCCTTTCTTTTCCATTGTATATGTTCTTTTTATTTGTTTCTATACATATGAGAAATTATGATTAAAGAGTTCTTTAGTAACCGCAAACAAATTTCTACAAGTATTGCTTAGATAAACAAAAAGTGATATCTTTCCCACGAATTAGTGAATTAGATAGGATTCATTTCTCTAGAATAAGAAATGTTTGATCAAGTGGATCAATTTTCATAAATGTTGTCGTCAAAATGACATTTGTACAAAAAAAATTGCAAAGAAAAGGCAAACAAATAAAAACCTATATTGTTCAAATTCTTTAAAAATATCGTGTAGAATACTTCAAAAGTAGTACATTTTAATTACAGAGGCACAACCACTAGGAGTTTGGGGCTTCTATTCTAAATTTCCTTCCCCTTCCTTACCAATGAGTGTCAATCAGTTTTGTTATGAATTTACAAGTTAATACATATATATTTGCTTAATTTTTCAGTACAAATACAAGAAATTTTTTATTATGGGTGAGGCCCAACCAACCAAAGTTGGAAGAGGCTCCACCCATTTTTTGACATGTGGATCGTGGGGCCCAAACTATTAGTTAAGGCTGAAAAATGAACCAAAAGGGAGAGAGAATGTAAAGTTTGAGTGGGAATTGCAAGATAATTGTGGGGTCCATGTCAACTTCAATTAAAATAAATTAAAATATTATATTGAAAGTGGAAAAGTGACAAGGGAATAAAAAGTCATATTATTAGTTGATCAATATTTTTATTTTCTATTTTATATCCACATTTATTTAACGTGTTGAATTGAATATCTATTAAAATATTATTCTTATATTGAAATTTGTTTACACTCTATTTTCTTTAAACTCGCGTTACTTTTAAAAATAGTTCTATATTACAAGATAAGATAAGATTTGTGTATTTTTTATTGTCTTCAAACTAATTTACTATTAACGTCAAATACCAAATTGAAGACATGCATAATTCTAATCACCTATTAAATAAACCCTTTAATGCTACTAAAGCAATGGGGTGAAGAAATGGAGGACAATATGAAAAAAGAGCGGAAAAAAAGAAAGTGATATCGTTTGTTTTGAAAACTCGAAAATCTCATTAAATGATTGTTGGTTAATTTTATCATGTTGCGTTTCATTTACACAAAATATAAATTATTTCATTAGTTAAATTATTTATCGTAGTGACTAGTGAGAATGTACATTATGTTAGCATTTATTAATTGAGAAAAGGTTCTATACAAACTTGTGGTCCCTCCGTCTCATATTATTAAGAAAAAAAATTCGGAATTATTATTTATTTTAGATAATTAAAATAGAGTGTATTAAGAAGAGTTACAAGGCAATTAAGAATTGGGTGGTTAAAATTGAAAATCTCAAAAAATAAATTAATGACTAAAATTTAAATAATTAAAATTAAATTGTGAATTTTGTAATAAATAATACCGAATGAATTTTAGTAGCTCAATTGGTTGATTATATGAATTTTTACATTTTTGTGAGAGTTCAATTTATTTATTTTAGTTTCACTATCTTCAATCTCTTTGAATTTATTTAAAAAATAATAATTTAATTTCATCTGATATATTATTATATATATATATATCCGTCGGTGAGTTCTAAAGTTTCTTTCTATTAAAATAAAATTACAAAGAGAGTTGGCAAGCAAACAAAGAAAATGCAAGTAAGAAAGAAAGAAGTATAAGAAAAGATTAAAAATGGAAAGAGAAAAAGTAAGGAAATGAAACAAGTACAATATGGGCCCCACAATATACAAATGGCAGCCAAAAAACGCCTCACACAACTGACACTATGTGCGCCTCACCCATAATAAAAAAATTTCCAAATACAAGGCCTACGAAAAAGGGATTGAGTTCGTCTAAACCCACGAACCCCCACCTAGCTTCGCCCCTGATTTTAAACCAGATATTTTAAAGTGTCAAAGTAGCATATATGAAAACTACTCTTCAGTGATTCGCCAGATATTTTAGACCATTTCTCGATTTGTGCTTTGTCAAACATTGAGCAAGGGCCATGCTAACAACATCACTAAACAAAAATAGCATAAAGTTTTTTTGAGCATGGACCACAAATGGTAATGTTTTCATGAAAATCTCAATTTTCTGCAACAAATCTAAATACATAATGACCCTTATAGATATCTAAAGATATGTGAAAGCAAGTTGTTCGTACTCGTCAAGAATAGCATTGGATGCACGTTAGATCCTTCAAAATAAGTATTTTTTTATAGTATCTGATACGGGTATAACAATATTAATGAAGAGTCCAAAACAACAATGATGATCTCAATTAAGTCTTTAAAAAACACTCTTTGCTCACTTTTTTCACAAATCATCTTGTCCATGTCAATAATTTTCTTGTGATGAATTTAATATTTATACCTATGTAATAAATTTATCTTCATAATACTTTTTTATCAATAAAACATGAAAATATTGCAAAATATCTTCTTCTTTTTTTATTTTTCATTCAATGTCTGATACACATATTGAAGTTGGATTAATTTAGATTCATATGTAATTTAGATTCATATGCCCTGTAGGTAGCGGTGTTCACGGTTTGGATAAAAATCGATCCAAACCGAAAAATCGAACCAAACCAATAAAATAAAATCGATTTTATTTGGGTTTGGTTTGGTTTGGTTTTAGATTTTTGAAAACCGATGGTATTTTGTTTGGTTATGGTTTTATTCGAAAAAATCGAAGAAATAACCGAACCAAACCGATGAATTATATACATATATTTTATTAATATACATACTTAATATATTATTTTTATAAACAATTTTAAAGATCTTATATATGTTTTCATTATAATTTACTTATTGAAAGCAAAAATTCTCAAGGTGAAAATATTTATTTTATTGATTTCATGTATAAGAGTGTTTGTGACAATTTTTTGTGGGACTAAAAATGTTAATGTCTCTTCCTTCTAAGCCAATATAATGAATTTTAAAGCTTTAATCATAATAAATTCAGTGATAGAAAGTTCAATAATTTCAGTTATTTTAACTATTTTTTTGTTTTGAATGGATTGTTGTCACTTTTTTCACATTTTGAATGAATTTTTTCTTTTATTTTTATTTATGGTTAATAACCGAACCAAACTAAACTGAAACCGATAACCACAAAATCGATAAATGTATATTATATTTGGTTTGGTTTGGTTTTGATAATTTTAAAACCGATTAAGTTGGTTCGGTTTTGGTTTTGATTTTGACCAATAATCGATCCAAAATTCCAAACCAACTCGTGAACACCCCTACCTGTAGGGCCTCATTCATGTTCATACCAAGTCTCAAAATATCTAGTTAAAAGAGAAGCAAGTCTCATCCACTGCATAGCATCAAAACATTTCTAGTGTTCCCTCACCAAACACACCCTTATGGCTAGTCAGCTAGATTCTGATTCTGAATTCCCCAAACTACAAGTAAAAAGGGGCAAAAAAGAAGTAGATTTATTTTTTCAAGAACTCAACATTTTTCATCCAAATAATTTCTCATGGGTTTCTTGAAATGGGTTGTTGGCTTTTCCATTTTATGCACATTTTTAGCAACACCCACCTTATCAATTTCTTCTTTTTTGAACAAAGAGGAGTTTGCAAATATTTCAGTTAATTTCTTGAATCTTGCAAAAAGACCTGAGCTTTTTGATTGGATAGTGAGAATTAGGAGGACTATTCATGAGAATCCTGAGTTGGGGTTTGAGGAATTTGAGACTAGTAAACTTATTAGAAATGAGCTTGATAAAATGGGGATTTTTTACAAGTACCCTGTTGCTGTTACTGGTGTTGTTGGTTTTATTGGAACTGGAAAACCACCCTTTGTTGCTCTGAGAGCTGATATGGATGCTCTTGCTATGCAGGTGTTTTACCAATAACTAGTTTTTATGTGTGTTTCTTAAATGTGTGTGTATATTCATTGCTTGTTAATGTTTTAGTCATGTTAGTATTTTTTGTTATTTTGCAATTATATTGGTTTGAAATGAGCTTAAATGGAGTGACATGGTCTGTGTGGATTCATATGGTTGACACTAACTTGGTGGGGATTGAGGAGTTGATGTTGTATTCCTTTCTTGTCAATGTTATAGTCATGTTAGTATTTAATTTTTTTTGGTCTGAGATGAGCTTAAATGGAGTGACATGGTCTACGAGGATTCAATTAGGTGACACTAACTTGGTGGGGATTGAGGCGTAATCGTTGTTGTATACTTGTATTCCTTTCTTGTCAATGTTTTCTCAGTCATGCTAGTTGTGTTTTTCTTATTTGACAATTATATTGGCCTGAGATGAGGTTAAATGGAAAGATATGGTATGTGAGGATTCATATAGTTGACACTAACTTGGTGGGGATTGAGGTGTAACCGCTGTTGTATTCCTTTCTTGTCAATTTTATAGTCATGTTAGTACTTCGTGTAATTTGGAATTATATTGTTTTGAGTTGAGCCTAAATGGCGCGACATGGTCTATGCGGATTCATATAGTTGACCCTAACTTGTTAGAGATTGTATGTTTTAGGTGCATTTCTAAATGTATGTACATATATTCATTTATTGTCAAGGTGTTGGTCATTTTAGTACTTTTTTTTAAGTTTGCAATTATGTTGGACTGAGATGAGCTATAATAGAGTGATATGGTCTCTGTGGATTCATATAGCTGACCCTAACTTGTTGGAGATTGAAGCGGAGTTGTTGTTGTATTCCTTTCTTGTAAATGTTCTAGTCATGTTCTTTTTTTCTTCTTTTGCAAATATATTGGCATGGGATGAGCTTAAATGGGGTGACATGGGCTGTGAGGATTCGTATAGTTGACTCTAACTTGTTAAAGATTGAGGCGTAATTGTTGTTGTATTCCTTTCTTGTCAATGTCAGATAGTTTAGACAAATGACAATGTGAGGTTGATCTGCCTTATTGTATATATTGATAATTTGTGGTAGATGTTTGTAACAATATGTTTTCTTTTGGGGGGAGGGGAACTCTAGATGTAAAACTCTAATATGTAACTTATGTGTTGCACTTTGCCTTCAATATGTTGTTGATTGGCGCAGGAAG